AGTCTTGACTTGACTGCCCAATGCTTTTATTTCAACTTGCTCGATTTGAGGCGACGAGACTGGCGTGTCAGAAAGATTCCAATTGTGATGAGGAATGTTTGAGAGTGGTTCCTTTGAACTGAAATTCCAGTCAGGATTCAGGAGTGACGCATTGCTTTTGCATTAGTTGAGGCACTCCTATCCTATTCCCACTTAATGATTCCAAGATGAGTTGTCTGTTATCTTATCTTTACGATTACAACTCCAAGCCCTTTGTATATATGTATATTAACTTACTTGTACTATTTCTCTTCCCCATACTGCCATACATTCTATTCTGGTTGGGATGAATCCACTAAGCAAAGTAGTGGGGCGGCAATGCTGTGCTGCAAAGTTGAATAGCCTAATCTGCTTAGACATTTAAAAGGTGAAAAAGCTCTTGGAAATGTAGGTGATTCACTGCTTTTTCCACACATGGAGTAGCATTTTTGTCTTTAGTTGTCAAAGATTAAGTGAGTTCAGAGAAGTCATAAAATATGAAATCCTTTCTATCACATTTTTTAAAGTGTATTCTTAGCTAATACCGCAGCCAATTTCACATTCCTGAACTTCAATCTGAATATCTGATTCCTTTTCTTAAGGTGGCCTTTCTATTGGGCAATGGCTAAAGAAAGACTGCTGTGAGATAAAGGCACTCTAGGAAAATGAGCCAACGAGGCCGCATCGTCGAGTCACCACACACCAGAATGAAAGAAAAAGAAACTAGAAAGGATTTAAGCACGAAGTTCTTTGACTTAATAGATATTGTTATTAAATCTCGTCAATTTTTTAGGTAGAAGGTGTATTAATTTATTAACCCAGAAGAACTAATAATACATAGCAGCACTGTTTTTAGGCTGATACAGTCAATGAATCCAACAATACAAAGAGTCAACTATAGTTTTCTTTATACAAGGATCTAACACTTGTAAGAATAACAAAATTTCTAATGCTGATCTAACATATATACATCCGGTGTTAATTTGTTTGCCAGTCCTGTCTTAGCAGTTTACATGTCAAAGTCATATTTCTAGCATCATAATATACTACGACTTATCTTCTTCATGCCAGGATGTAAGGAACTAAATCTTGCCATATATCACTTAGAATAGTAGTGATATTTTTTATCAGGACCTACGTGGCTCAAACATTTTGACTTGTAGTCATACACAGTCCTGGTATTAGACAATGCTCAAAATGGCATGCTCAGATTCCTACCCTCTCTGTATGGACTATGGATTAAGAAAGTGGCTTTCAGACACTGAAATATTACAAGCTGAACGTTTTCTTCTTGAGGTTGCGGAAAATGCAATCTTTTTCTTGTAAATCATTACCAATGCAACGTTACAGTGTATATTGTGTGTGTGTTTTTCTTTTTTGGGTAATGCAGTAAGTTAAAAGTAATCCAATAGGTCCCTGGGTTGTAGATTTGTGGTATGTGTAATTTCTCAACCGTTCCCCTAAAATCTTTCATCCGCCAATCAGGCTTTCAAGGATTTGTCTCTCTAGGGTTTCTCATCTCTCTGGCATGGGTTGGTTGGAATCAGGAGTCGGCCTAGAAAAGCTGGTGGTCGTGGGGTTAAAGATTTAAGGAAGTTTAATTTGGCACTGCTGGGAAAGTGGTGGTGGCGCTTGTTAAATGAAGGAGATACACTATGGAATAAGGTGGTGATGAGTGAAAAGTATAAAGCAGGTAGGCTATCTTGGGTTGGGTTTAGTGCTGTGAGTGATAGTTCTAGATGGTGGAAGGATTTGTGGAGGTTAGATAATGGAGTTGAGGAAATGGAGAGCTGGTTTAGGACTGGTATAGTGAGGGAGGTTGGTGAGGGGAATGATACACTTTTTTGGGGAAGATACATGGTGTGGTGAGATTCCTTTTAAAGTGAAATTCCATAGGTTGTTTACTATTTCCAGGGATAAAGAGGAGGTAGTTTTCTAGGATGGGGAAGCGGATTAATGGAGTGCGGCCATGGGTTTTTGGAGGTGGCGTAGAGGTTTGCTTGCTTGGCAATCTGATATGCTGCAGGAATTGTCAAACTCTTTGGAAAATAAACAGCCGAAGCTTGGAAAGGATGATTGCTGGACCTGGAGGCATGACTCAAAGGTCAAAGGGTTGCTATACTGTTGCTTCAGCATACAATGTCTTGTCCTCAATCCAATGCTCGAGGGATTCCAAGAGGTATTAAGTTATTATGGAATAAGACTGTGCCACTTAAAGTCGCTGCATTCGCATGGAAGGTGCTACAAGAGAGGATTCCAACAGTTGACAACTTGGCAAAGAGAGGATTGCATAAGGAACGGGAAGAAGGATTATGTGTTCTTTGTGGAGTTGTGCCTGAAACAAAAAAGCATCTTCTGTTTACCTGTAAAATGGCGTGGGAAATATGGGCAGCCTGTTATGAATGGTGGGGAATCAAGGTGGTGTCTCAAGAGAATGGGTGGATGCATCTAGAGCAACATGCAGGATTATTCCAAAGGAAAACTACCAGGAAAATATGGGTGGTCATCTGGTTTACTGTTGTTTGGTCCATTTGGTTATGGAGGAATCATACGATATTCAAACAGCAAATGGAGCCACAAAGTAAGGTGATGGAAATGATAAAGTTTCAATCCTTCAGCTGGGTCAAGGCAAAATTGGTGCCAGATTTATCCATGGACGACTGGTATACTTTCCCAAGTCAGATCTGCATATAATGGTTCAACTAGGATTTTAGGAAACCTAGTTGATGTGCGTTATACTGGAAGCAATATTTTAAACTTGTTCTGTGCATGGTATTTTAATCTTTGAGTATTTCAATTTTGTAATGGGAGGGAGTACGCTTGTATTCTATTTTGGTAATAAAATTGTCTTTGTTGATAAAAAAAAAAAAAAAACTATACATTATCACTTTTATGTCATTCAATATTGTGTGCTGTGAGCTTGGGATGAAGCCACTGCACTAGAGTGACAAACCTCTCTTGTACGCTTCTTTAGTGCTTTAATTAACTTTATTCTTCCCATGAAATTAGTCATCCTGAAGCTAATCATTTAGTTATGTTTCATGTGCATTTTGACAAGGTGTTAGCTCTGAACTGATCAAACTAATAGGAGTGTACAATTATTATTATTATTTTTTATGGGGAGACCCATACGTACCTAAACAAATTATGCTTATACCAATAAAAATTAACTAAATTTGTATCTAGACCAAGTGGGGTGTGGAAAGGAGAAGACCTAATTTTTATTTATTTATTATTATTATTTTTTATGGGGAGACCCATACGTACCTAAACAAAT